GAATAAGGGATCCTTAAAATATGGAAAGTGCTTGAAAGACCATCTGGGCAAACCAAAGTTACTCATCCCCTGGAACGTTCTCCTAGAAAGGCACACTGCAGGGAACACACATAATGTAACCCTACAGAAAAGCTTGAAGCTCTGGAAAGAAATTATTTATAATCTATAACCAAGGCAGCCTTTTGGGCAGACAAACACAGCAAACTGCTCTCTGAAATGTGACAAGATGGAGGTTACCATGAAGGCAGGAAATATGTATGTGGCCAGAGCGGAAGTGTGCAAGTTCCTGCAGGAGGTTCCCAGCGTGGAGAGAACGTCATTGATGGCTCAGGGACCTGTGTCCTTACTCAGCGAGGTGACACTAATGGCTGTTGCAACTTTTTCTGATCCCCAGATGGAGAAGTGGTCTGGCTCACAGGAGTGCCGTGAACTCATCGGGCAAGTGGCAGGACGTTTGAAATCCAGGCTCACCCATTCACTGTGATTCTGTGGGGGATGGTGGGCTCTCCCAGCTGCAGACACTTGCCATCAGTGTGGGTTGTTGATGCCTCACTCCTCTGCCTCCTTTCACACACCACCTGGAGCAGTGCACGAGAGCTGAGAACCCCACCCAGAGCATGGAGTAGTGAGGAGGGCTCCGGATTGGCTCTGGGTGTTAATACGTGTGGCTCAGGAGAGAAGTGACAGCGACTGCAGGCTTCCTGCAACCAGGACAGAAGCTGAGGTCCTTCCTCTTTGCTGGAGGAAGACCGGGGGGGGGGGTCTGGAAGGGGCAGCACCATGTGGTTTAATAGCACCTGACTTCAGTGGTTCGACACCAGTGGGACGGGCACCTGCTGACATTGCTTCCCCAGAGGAAACATGGGATTACTTGGCTTCCATCTCCACAAGATCACAGTAATTGGCTCCACAACGATGGTTCAGGAGGAGGCTGAGAACCGGCGTGAGGAAGCGGTTAGAGAAGAAACCTGTATTCAGCTCTGATGTGAGGCACTGTTTTTAACTGAGATAAAATATCCCAGTTAAAGTCGAGGAAAGACAAAAAATGCAACAGGATCCTTTTAGAGGTGCACTGAATACTCACCTCGGCCAAAGGTAGAATGGCCACGTGTTAAACATTGAGCTGAAGCCAAATATTGCCACACACATATGTCCTTTGGGATACAACAAGAAATATAATTTTTTATATAAGGGTATAATTAGTGCTACACTTTTATTATTAAAATGTTTGAAGTTCAGATTGCAAGTTTGACTTTACAGTGCAGGAACAATAATGCCTTAGCGCTGTCTGCTGTGAGATGGCTCCTGCTGTCTGACTGTCACACACATGGGCACTGCTCACTGGACACGCAGCCTTCTAAGGTCACTCTGCCGATACGGGCTGCTGGTGATGGCCACATCACCAGGCCATCTCGAACTGTAACTGACTAAAGGCAGTTCCTCCTGGACTCCTGGGTGTAAAGAAGTCTCAACCAGGACTTCTTGAAAGACTCCAGGCACTTGTTAAATTAAAGAACTAAAAATTAAATGGAGCTCGTGTGGGCTAATTTGTTTATTATTATGAGTGCATATTATACCAAAGAATTCTATCAGGATTAGAATTGTAATTCAGTCTCATCTCTCTCATTCTGCCTTGTGTTCTCAATTTAATTGTTACACACAGCACTGCAGGTGGCCGCAATCAGACCCACCAGTCGAAGTAACTTCCCCACGTGGAGCCTCAGGGAGGGGCACGGGGTGGAGCCTCGGGCTCAGGGTCTGGGGAGTTCTTGGAGCCCAGAGCCCAGCCTCCAGCATGCTGCCTGCCACTGAGCAGGGCTTCAGCATGTATTTGCTGGATGTGAGAGTGGCTAAACAGATGAATAAATGTGTCAGCCAGAGCCAAGCACAGAAGAGCCGGCACCTGAAGGCTGTAACCGCACCAGGTAAGGTGAGGTTGGAAGGGGCCGACTCAAAACAGGCAGGATAGCCAACCCTCACGGGAAGCCCCAGTGTATACAGAGAAGATGGGGCAGGCAGGAGGCTGCGACAGGGCGGCCGGGCCAGAGGTGGGGAGTGGGTGTCCTGGCAGGTAGGTCAGTAGGAGACATGTAAAAGTCACACAGTGGACACAGCGCCTTAGAGGCAGGACCCCAGACCTATCCAGGGTGAGTTGTAGGGGAAGCAGAACTTGGGCCAGGCTGGTGTCGGGGCCCAGGAGACCCAGAAGCACCTAGAACAGGGGCTGGAGGCGGGGCGTAGCCCCCAGAAGAAAGCCTGTTAGTAGACTTGAGATCAAGGATAGAGGAGGACTATCCAGGCTGGCTCAAGGACAAATCCCCCAAGCCACTGAACTCTTAAATTCTCCCTGTCTTAGGAAAGGGTCTACCCCGAGGCTGCAGCCGGGGTGAGACCACATGAAGATGATCGAGTCGTCCCAGGGAAGGAGTCTGGAAGGCTATAAAAGCAGGAAGTCAAACAGGCCATGGCACTCAGCAGGCAGGTAAGCCTACATGTTACCAACTGTTTCAGACTTTGATTTGAGCATGTAACCAGGTCTTCTGGGCCCTGAATACTTTAACTGATCATCACCTCACCAACAGTGCTTTGGGGAGGCCTGCAATGTGCTTTACCTGTTAGGGAATGGAGGCATGCACCAGGCACCGGACAGACATGTTTATGCAAAGTATGCATCATGAGTCACTGTTCACAGAGAAGAAAGCAAGGGCTACAGCCAGGAAGTGCTGCAGATGAGCCTGGGTGGCAGCGGTCAGGGAGGGCTTCCTGGAGGAAGTGGGATGTACCCTGGACCTGTAGGACACAGGACATCAGAATAGAGAGGGGAGAACATTTACTTCCTTTGCAATTCCTGACTGCTCAGAACACAGCCCTCAGAGCTAAGCAAGACAATTTACTAAACTGCAGGAGAGCCAAGCGAAGGGAGGGAAGTAATCCTTGCTGGGTGGACTCAATGAATTCCATCTCACAGGGGGAAACCCTGAGGTACAACGAGGTATGGGCTGGTTCCCTAATCAGATAAGCGGTGGGGCCCAAGGCCCCACCGTCTTTTCTAACTCAGAAGAGCTGCCCTCCGCCTCCCGCTAGCTGGGGAGCTGGCTTGGGCTCTACGGGGAAGGCTTCGGCTAGCTTGGTGTGTGCAGGCTTTTCCTTTGTTTTATTTTGAAAGGGCTACTGAAGAAGGGAAGAGGGAGGAAATGGCTTTCTTTTTTCTCCAGCGATATACCAGTTCTGCCCTTAGGTGCAGGTGAAAAGCCCCTCTCGGGGCCACACCAGTTAACAGGACCCGCTGGGGCCCTTCTCCGTGTGCCCCTCCCCTGCCTTCCCCACCGGCTGTCATGGCGTGACTATGTATTAGTTTCCTATTGCTTCTGTGGCTGCTTCCCACAACCCGAGTGGCTTAAATCCACACACATGTATCGTCTAAGAGTTCGTCGGTCAGAAGTCTCACCGAGTGTCAACAGGGCTGCACTCCCCGGAGGCTCTAAGGGAGAATTCCAGCTCACGTGGCTGTGGCCTCTTCCTCCTCCAACGCCACTGATGGCTGGCCCAGTACTTCCCACTGCTCATCACTCTGACCTTCTCTTCTGCCCCGCTCTTTCACTTTTAAGGACTGGTGATTACATTGGGCCCACACAGAGAATCCAGGATATAATGTATAGTCATAAAGCAGTTGATTGGTAACTTTAATTCTGTCTATGACCTTAATGCAACATTACATATTTACAGGTTTCAGGGACTAGAATATGGACATCTTTGGGGGGGCCGTTATTCTGCCTACAATAATTGGCAAAAGTCAGAGGATGGAATATATTTTATTGAACAATCTCTTGACTTGGTTTATAATTTTAAGTATTTAGAGGCATGGGTGTGGCCTCTGTTTGTGCTTTGCCCCAGGCCCTGCGAATATTGGGGCTGCTCTGGTGGGAACAGTGGCTGTCTAAGTTGAAAGGTCTGCAGCCCCCTGGGGTGGAGTGGGGAAGCTGATACTCCTCTTTGGCCAGCAGTGCCCCACTCTGGGCACAGTTTCCAAGGTTCCTCAGCCTGTCTCTCCAGAGGAACACGTCACGTTCGTCATCTTACCTCTGTCAAGCCCAGTTCTGACTCCCAACACTTTGTTCACCTGACAAAAGTGGTCTTCCCAAAGAAGGTACATTTCCAGTTCTTTTTGCTTTTTACTTTTACATAAAAATGGTAAAAGCAAGGGAAAAAACCTCCTACTTATCCCAGCCCCTGTAGTACAGACACATCAAAGGATGCCAAGCCCCTCGGGAAACCGGAGTGTGGCTTACATCATCCTGCAGCACATCGCTAAGCAACTGTGGGATCAACATCTGTTTCCATGGAGATGTCACTTCATCGCCATTCTCCAGGCAGAGCAGAGAAGTGCATCTGGGAGGAAGGAATATACTGAGCTGTGCCAGAGAATAACGAAATCTGGTGCCATGAGCAAAAATAACTATAATCGAGGTGAAAGGTCGATGAGAGAGAGTGCTAGAATGAGAAGGAGGGGGAATGGGCACTGGGTGAGGTCCGGGGGAAGTGACTGGCCAGAATTAGACGGAGGTGCTGAATATTGTACAATGGTTCACAGGCCAAGCTGGGTGGGAACCCAAGCCTTGTGCCTCCTGGCCCAGGGTTCATCGCACATGGAAGGAAGGCAGTAGGAGCAATATGCCTTTCTCCCAGTCAAGCGAAGATGCTTCTTGCTCCTTCTGCCCCACATCTTGCTTTGGTGCCTAGCACAGTGCCTTCCAGGGACAGCGGCTCTGCTGGGCGCTCTCACCCAAACCCTGTTGCTCGAGGCATGGCCTTCTGAATGACTGCAGCAGAAGCGGAGGGGGAGGAGAGGGAACCAGCTTCTGCATGGAGCTCGCTATGCGTCAGGTGTCGTGCTATTGCAGCCAGTCCTCAAATCCCACCCGTGGCGTGTTAGGGCCTCGTTTGCAGGCAAGGAAGGAACTGCAGCTCAGAGAGGTGAGGTGGCTTGTTCAGTGTGATGAGAGATCAACGGGAAGCTTTTAGAAATCACTTACCTGTGCCAGGCATCGTTTTAAGCTCTTGGCAAATACTAATTCATTTCATCCTCAGACTGTATCTCTGCGGGGGGGGGGCATTATTATCTGTCAGTTAATACGTGGCAGAGCCAGCCTTTGGGGCCTGGGGTGCCCTTCCCACTGCCTACACTGACCCCACTGTCACCACCGGGGAGAACAACTCAGGAGACACGGAGTCAGGCACAAGGGAATGAGCTGCCAGTGGATGGGATGTTGAATCAGGAGGCTGAGTGGGATTTTTTCTGGTGTCCCATATTCAGTTTAGAAGTCCACCTGCATTGGTGCCAGACCCTCTCTGAGGTCTCAAGGAGAGACTGCCTCCCACCAAATAGTGGGTGCTCTGCCCACCCTCCCCACTGGCCGTGCCAGAGAGGCTGTGGGGCAGAGCCTCCAGGGAAGGTGGGGCTCATACCCAGAGGCTCCTCCCCTGCAGCCTGGGGAGGGGAGCATCAGAGACTCCTAGATACTAGTGCCTGCAGCCAGGGGAGGGGGTGGCCTGTTCCAGGTGGGCTGGATATTCACTGAACCCTGGGGCTGCTGCTGGAGCCGCAGCAAGAGGAGCCTCAGGTGCATCCTGGAAAAATATGTCTGATGCAGGTTCTCCCTCACCATGGGAAGAAGAGGGTGCATGACAGGTTCTTCTGACTCCCAAGATCAGTGTCTATCTCTGCTCTAGAGATTTCTGAAGGGAGAGGTCTTGCCAGGAGGATCCAGGCGACAGAAGCTGAGCGTGTCTGTGAGGAAGATGGGGCAGCCCACCTCACACCAGTTCTCCTGCCCCCAGAGAGCCTAGATGGACAAGCTGGAGGTCCCCAGGGGTCTACACAATCCCTGGAGCACTGGGTTGAGTGGGGAGCAGGAGCAGTGGAGGCAGCTGGGACAAGTGATGTAGCCCTGACCCGGAGCGGGGTTTGTGAGTGTACATTGCTGGCAGGGTTGAAGGTAGACACAGCTGCCCACAGGAGGGGTTTGGGACTCAGCTACAGAAGGGTCTGTGGGAGCTGACCATGAGCCCCAGGATGCCTGGGGCACCATCTCTGCAAAGACCGCCGCCTCACAGCATCACCAGCATTGGCCAGAACCTCCAAGAACCTGAATGAAGTCAGGGGCACCCCTCCCCACCAGTGAGGACAGGCCAGTCATATGTCCAGAACCTCCTTGCCCTCCTGGGGGGCCCTGGCCAAGGGGACCAGCGATAAGTCCTGGGGAGTTTACAGTCTGAAGTGGGAAGCAGAGAGTGACATTCAAAGAGAGAACAAAAGGCAGAGAGCGTGAGGTGCAGGCCCTCCTCCACCTCTCCGACCAGCGAGCACGCAGACACAGTCCCCCTTGCACAGCGGTGGGGAGCGGAACTCTGACATAAGCCGGATTTGCAGTTTTAAAATAAATACAATTAAGTCTAAAATACTGAAATGAGACTGCTCTGGTCATCAAAGATGCCAGAAAGAAACGACATCTGGCCAAGTTATCACTGAGATACCAGCTACCCAATGGGAAAGAGGGTTGATATAGCCCAGGGATGGACAAACTCCAGCCCTCAGAGTAAGGATGGTTTTGATATATTGAAGGGGTGGGGGGAGGGGTGGGGGGGAGAGAGAGAGAGAGAGACTGACTGTCTGTGGTCTGCGCCACGTAAAATATTTATAACTGCCCTTTACAGAAAATGTTCGCCAACCTTATTTGTAGCCTAGCTGGGAGGGGCTGAAGCTATTTTAAAAAAGTAAAACTTTCATATTTAAATTTTATGTAAGTCCTCCTGTCATTCTCTTCTTTCATTCAACATTGTGGTTTTAAGCCTCATCCGGCTTAAAGAGTGGTGTAGTTGATTCATTTTCACTGCTGTAAACTAGTCATTAAGTTCGTTCACCTGTTCTCCCGGCTGTGAGCATCTGGGCTGCTTCCAGGTTTCTGCCCTACTGCTGCTGGGAAGGTTCTTGTGCGTGTCTCTCGGTGTCCACGTGCCAAGTTTCTGGGGGAGCTACGCTCAGAAGCAGACTTGCTGAGTCAGGACATACATGCTGCTTCAGTTTTACAAAATGTAGTGCCAAATCGCTCTCCCAAAATTTTGTATCATTTTGCGCCTCCACTGTGAATGTTTTTGAGTTGTCTTTCCTTCACATCCTCTCCCATACGTGATATTAGCAGAATTTTAAAATTTTCCTACTCTGATGGTGCAAAAGAATATCTCCTGGTTTTAATTTGCATTTGTCTTAACATACAGAGGCTGCGTATTTTTTATATCCCTATAGCAATTTGGGTTTCCTTCTTTGCTCACTAGGGGGTTATGTTTTTCTTATTGATATGTGGAAGTTCTTTCTATATTCTGGATATTAATTCTTTCTTAGTTTTATGGGTAGTCGTTATCCTCTTCTGATATGTAATGTGTTTTGCTTTGGTTTTGGTGTTTCTTGAGCAACAGAAATGTTTGATTTTAATGTAGTCAGAATTCTCAACTTTTCTCTAAAGTTTGTGCTGCATCTTGTTCTATTTGACATAAAATTATAACACTCCTTTCAAGTTCTGCTTTTCACATTTGGAAATTATTTTTGGTGTAGCAGAAATATTTGGTATAGCAAAAAATATTTTTCCATTCAGACAACCAAATGTTTAAGACATTATCAAACTGTTTTCCAGAGTGGCTGTGCTATTTTATATTCCTATCAGCAGTGTACGTTTTCCATATTTTCACCAAAACTTGATGTGGTCAGTCTTTTTAATTTTAGCCATTCTATTAGATGTGTAGTGGTATCTCAGTGAAGTTGTTCTAATTTGCATTTTCCTAATGATTTATGATGCTGAACACATTTTTACGTGCTTACTTACCATCCATCTATCTTCTTTGGTCAAGTATCTATTCAAGACTTTTGCCCATTTTTTAATTAGGTCGTTTGACTTCTTATTGTTGGCTTTGAGAGTTCTTTATACGTACAAGTCCTTTATCAGATCTATGCTTTGCAAATAGTTTCTTCCAGTCTGTGTTTGTCTTTAGTTTCTTAACAGAATCTTTTGAAGAGCAGAGGTTTTTAATTTTGATAGTCAAATTTATTCATGCTTTTTTCCATGGGTTGTGCTTTTAGTGCCATACTTTTAACAATCTTTGCCTAACCCAAATTTATAAAGATTTTTCTCTTCGGTTTTCTTCTCGAAATTTTATAGTTTTAGACTTTACATTTAGGTCTGTGATCTGTTTTGAGTTAAGGTATGGATATGATACAAGGCATGGGTTGAATTTTATTTGTTTGTCTGTTTATTTGTTTTCTGCATGTGGATATTCAGTTGTTCCAGCACAGGTGAAAAGGAGAGTCTTTTTTCTCACCTATTTAATTTTGGATTGTTCCTATTGCTCAGTCTGGAAGCACTCACATGCTCTTTACCATGACATTCCACCAAGGGCTTTCAAGGAAGATTGAGGGAAGGCAGATGACCTTACATTGATGGCAGCAGGCAAGAAACGCAAGTAAATGGCTGCCACTGGAGGGCAGGCACAAAACCCCACCCATGTCCTAGATCCTTCTCTCTTACCAGGAAAAAGCCTTAAGCCATTGGAATGACAGGAAACAGGGCCTAGGCAAAATCCATCACCTCTGAAGGAAAACAGAAACAAAAGCCATTTAACGCTGGAAGAGGGATAGGAAACCTTCTGTTCCCTGTGCACTGCCGGTGAGTGGTAAGAAGCTAATTCAGTTCCAGGGTCCTGCACTGATACAAAGCAGAGGTCTGCTATCACTGGAGTAGGAGAGTGATGGTGAGGCAGGAGGCCCTCCCCTGCCCAAGATGTCCCACGGGTACCAGAAGGGGTTTGGGCCCCACAAAAGTGAGATGCAGGAATGAGGGCCAGGTGCACAGAGACTGCCCAAGACTAAGGCTAGAAGAGAAAACCTAAGGTCCCCATCTGCCCCAACATGAGCCTCACACCTAGAAACGAGCAGTAGCGGGCTACAGCTGCAGAAGAATGTTGAGAGTCCCCTCCGTGGTGCAGGCATGCAGGGCCCTGGAAGATGGAAGAACATAAGAACACTGAAAAAAACCTTCTGGCACCCCAGACCCCTACCAAATGCAAGTAACAGCAGCCCACCACTGGAGGAATTTGAAATCTGTGCTGCAGTGAAGTAAACTATAACAATTACAAAACTCAGACTCAGCACAACTGCTGATTATAATTGATTCAACCCCGGATACGAACAGCCTTACGGAAGACGGATACTCACTTCCGGGCATAAATACTATTTACTTCAGTCTTTATTCTACTCACAGTGCTTGGAACACAATAAAAAATTACAAACACATGCAAATTACAAGACATACCAAAAAAAAAACCCGAAATAAAAATCCCTATTATCAAGAAATAAAACATTTCATAGAAGCAGACTCAGATTACAGATGTCAGAACTATCAGAGGCTTTAAAAATAATGATCATTTTATGGAAAAAGATCTGGTGGAAAAAGAGGACAATATAGGTGAGCAAATGGAGATTTCACCAGAGAGATGGAAATTACAAAGAGAGTCAAATAGGAATGCTGAAATAAAAAATATGAAGAACTCCTTTGATGGCTTTTAAGTAGATATATAACAGAGGAAAGGAACAGTGAACTTAAAGACAGGTCAGTCGATAGAAATGATCCAAACTGGAACACAAAGGGGCAAAATAGAATCCAAGACATACGGCCAATATTAACGTCAGTGATCTAATATCAGAGCTCCAGAAGGAAGAGAGAAAGAATGGGGCAGAAGAAGTATTTGAATATACAATGTCCAAGAATTTTCCAAAATTAATTCAAAGCAACAAACTATAATTCCATGAAATTCAAAGAACTCCAACATGGTTAAAGAAAAAAACCCAAAATGAGCAATAAAAAATTTAGGCACATTATAGTCAAGCTGCTAAAACCAAAAGATAAAGGGAAAATGCTGAAGGCAACAAAAAGGGAGAAAATGGAGGAGAAAAAGATTAGAACTACAACAGACTTCTCACAAATTCTGCAAACCCTGAAGCTAGTAAAACAGTAAAGTATGGCAGGTGGGGGCAGAAATCTGTCCATTCATAATTTTATACCAGTAAAAATATCTTTTGAAAACAAAAGCAAAATAGACTTTTCCAGACAAACAAACCTGAGTGAATTAGTTACCAGCAGGTCTGCGCTACAAAAAAATGTTCAGGGAAGTTTTGCAGTTGGAAGGAATGTGGTATGAGATGGAAATTTGTATCTCAACAAAGAAATGAAGATTCCTGGAAATGGTAAACATAAGAGGAAACAGAAAAGAATTTTCGCTCTTATTTTTACCTCTTTACAATGAGTATGCATGACAATAGCACCAAGGATGGGAAGCAGGAAATGGAAGTATACTGTGATGTTACCTACATGTAATTGTGTACTATTGGAGAGCTATTTATGGTAAACCCTAGAGCAATCACTATTTTTAAAAAGTGGAGATTTGAGTCACAAGTCAAAATTTAAATAGTATATCCCCTGACAGTATTTGGTTGATACAGTTATTTTAATTTGAAGGGAAAGGGTGAAAAAGATCAGAGGTGAGTTTGCTAATTGCCTTGTCAGTAACATGTGGTAATGAAGACCTGACGAATCAAGCAATAGAAGTTATGTACATATTTAACATGATGAAGATAAATACAAAATGCTACTTTGATGAACCAATGTAGCATGAGAGAGGAAAGGGTCCAGGAGAGCAGCTGGGAAGAGGAAGCGTGCTAGTTCTGTTCCTGTTTACAGGAGGGAACTAATACATTCTGTCTGAAGAAAGCTAAGGATTGTACATAAAGTGAATCATAAAGAGAAACACTAGAAAAACAGGCAAAAATCTCCGTCCTGACATGAGGAGAACCACACAGAAAAAAACAAAGCCAAGAAGGGAAAAAGAAAAGAAAACCACAGTGTGAAAGACTAAAAGGAGAACAAAAAGTAAGAAGAAGAAACATGACATTATTCAAGATTTGCAGATACTAACTAATATATAAAGTAGATTAACAGTTAAGTTTATACTGTATAGCACAGGGAACCATATTCAATATTTTGTAGGAACTTATGGTGAAAAAGAGTATGAAAACGAATATATGTATGTTCGTGTATGACTGAAGCATGATGCTGTACACCAGAAATGGACATAACATTGTAAACTGACTATATTTCTAAAAAAAAAATACAAGAAAAGAAACATGACATTAAATCGTATGACAAATCTCAGTACAAATATATCGTCATGTCCATGACTGTAAGTGGACTAAATTCCACTCTTGAGAATATGTTCAGATTGGCTCCCAAGTGAAACCCGACTCTGTGCTGTCTGCAGAAGACACACCTAAAACCAAGTGATTTAGGAAAGTTTAAGAAGGCTGGAAATAAAAGAACGAGCAAAGTCATGCCAGGTAAATGCCAATAAGAAATCAAGAGTTATGAGGCTAATAGAAGGAATGGAGCATTCAGGCTAAAGAAATCATTAAACAAGTCAAAGAAAGACACTTTATAATGCCAAAGGTTGTAATTCACAACTCAGATGCATGAACTATAATGTTTATATGCCAGTCAGCATAGTAGCAAATTCTATACTGCAGAAATTATAGGAAATAGGAGAAACTGACAAAGACACAGCGGGATATTTTAATCTGTCTCTCAGTCCAGGGTGGATTCAGAAAATAAAGAGAAATAGAGCCAGTTACAGTCAACCTTAGTAAAACAATAGAGCAAACGTTGTACCTTAATAAAAGAGAACACACCTTTCCGATGCCCCCGTGTGTATGAACGTTCATGAAATCCTTACATTACACCTCAGCAAAGGAACCTCAGTAGAGTCTACATGATATTCTCTGATCACAATGTAATAAAACAGAATTAGTAACAATATCACAAAAAAATCCCCTTCATCTGGAGATCCATAAACTTCCTTTAAAATTCCTCTTAGGTTAATGACAAAAATGAAAACAAATAAAATTTCTAGAAAACAATGAAAAGTACACATATTAAATTAAAGGGGTACAAATAAAGCAGTGTCCAGAGGACAATTAATATTCCTCAATAGATACATTAGTTTTAAAAAGAAGAATTAAACAGATGAGTTAAGATCCAACTCAGAAAGATATTAAGACATTAGTTTACCTAATTGAAAAATTTTAAAGGAAAAACACAAACCAAGAAACCAGGGGAGTAAATACAGAAGAGAAAATTAAAACAACCATATGAAGCAGTTTTGTGCAACTATTAAGTAAACATATCTCAAAACCTCATGAAATGGAAGTCAGTTCAGTCTCAGAGCAGTTGCATGAGTAACTGGTAAAGCCAAGACTAAGCCCCAGTCTTGGAACCCCAAGGTCAAGGCTTTTCCGACAAGTCCACTGCCTCCTGCTTCCTGCCTCGAGTCTCCTTGGCCAAAGGCTGGAAGGTCTGGGTCCTGCCCAGAATCTGCCAGAGGGGAGATGGGCAGGAAGAGGTGGCTGTAGGTTCGCAGAGCCAGTGAAGTCAATCCTCCATCGTCGTCCCAGGGAAGCAAAATACCCAGCCAGGCAGGGTCCCCCTCTTTATGGAAGTCCCAGCCCTGCTCACCAGGATCAGCCAGCACACTGGGAGTAGAAGACCCCGCAGCACACAGTGGACCCCGTACCGCGGCTCTCTGGCCCAGCTTGACTCTGACCTCCCCTCTCCCTCAGCCCGGACTGCATGCTCCTTCTGCCCGGGCTGCTGCTGCTCTGCCTGACTTCTGCATCTGGGGGCCAGAGCCCAGCCAGCCACCATGCCGGCCTTCGTCTCCTCAAGAATCCGACACAATACCCGGAAGGCAAGGGGTCACACCAGCATCCCCGAGCCCACGTGTGGAGTCCACCCAACAGAGGCCCTGAATGTGGAATGGCAGCCCCAGAGAGGTACAAAATCTGTGCAGACAGACACAAAAGATGTCCCCTGTGGGTCACACAATGAAAGAGAGGTGTAGAACAGTGTGATTAGTGTGAGCCCCTTTGTAGAATTTTTTTTTCTCACTGTAAGAGCAGAATAGAGAGAGAGAAATGAACATAGAAAGTGAAAATAAAATTTCCTGTCACCTCAGACTCCTATCCCTCGCCTCTGTGTCCAGCAAGTAAGCTCTGTTACACATCTTGTGAGTTCGTATTCTTCCAAAGATATTCCATACGCAAAATAGTGTATATACGTATATTATAGGTTACACATGCACACTTGCACACTCTACAAATGTTAATGCCAGTTGGAGCCATTCATGCATTTGTTCATTCAATAGTTCATTTGGGGGGCCTGCAGAGCAGATGTAATTAAGTTTATTTACTTACTTCTTTATTTTAACGGAGGTGCTGGGGATTGAACCCAGGACACATGCGTGCTAAGCACACGCTCTACCCCAAGCTCTACCCGCCCCTTTCAATTGTTTATTTGCAGCAGGCTAGATGCTAAGCACCCAGCCCCGGCTGTCACAGAGTCCAGCGGCGGGTACAGTCACCAAAGGACCACACAAATGAAGTATGTTTAGAAACAGATTCAGTGAGGAAGTCTGAACTGAGTCAAAATCTGAACTGAGGTGTCCTGCAGGTGACAGCCACATCTGTCAGTGTTTGAGGGACAGTCACCCCAGCCCTGGCCATGGACACATTTTCTTTGAGTCTCTCATGTGTTTCCGGTGAAGAACTAGAGCTGTGACTCACTGTCCTCACCATCTGCAGCACAGGGCTCCAGTGATTCATGGCCATCACCCCAGCCCGTCCCCCAGGATGGCTCAGAGGAACAAGAGACAAAATGATTCAGGCAGAGAGAGACACAGCCTAGCCTGTTCACGCCCACTGCTCCCTTCCTGCCTGGAAAACGGAGACGGGCATGGCTCTGGCCTCTGAGTGACGCACATTTTCAGGGGTGTGCTGATGGAGGGACAGTGCCCTCCTGGTGAGGGTCCTCAGAACACAAGTGGTGACTAGTCTCCGCAGCAGGAGCTAAGCCGGCGAGGGGAGAGGTGAGGACGTATGGCTCGATTCCACCTCCGGCCTCTGCAGGGCCCTCCCTGACCATGCCTGTCTGCAGAGAGTCCCAGATCGGGGTGTCTGGTCCCCTGCATGCCCAGGCTGGTGTGTCCACACATTTGCACAGGGCCACCCTGCCCCAGAACCTCAGTCTCTAAACACCCAGGCCGAGCCCACCATCCTCTCCCGAAGCCCGATTCTGCCTCTGGCGGCTGCCTCCTTGAACTACTACGCCACCATCGCCCTGGACCCTGGTCTTGAAGTCCTGGCGTTGACTTCAGCTCCTCCCTTTCCAGCACTCTCCTCACCTAATCCAGCCCCATCTGCCCCTGCCTGCCTTTCCCTGCTTTTGTCTCCTTTTGTGCCCTTTCCTCAACAAAAACTTTCAGGAAACCCTCTCTGGCCTTGCTGACTCGGGACTGCAGATTTTCTCACTGCCCTCAACATATTTTCCTAAATGCATCTTGGTGGCAGTCCACCCCTCTCCTCCACTGGCGCCGTCTCGGGGTCTGCGGCAAAGATTGAACTCCTAGGCACATGGAGGGCAGGCAGGTGACACAGAGGAGGGAGGCCTGCTGAGAGGCACTCGATAAAGGGCCACAGTAGGGAGTGGTGAGGACCAGAGCAGATGGGAGAATGCTTGTCCCGCTCGGGGGCGGCGACCACCCAGCCACAGCTGGGTGAAGCACGACAGAGCCACAGCCCCAAATTGCCAGACCTTTTGAACTTTCACAAAAAACCAGCTTTGTTTATGAAATCTCTTAATTTCTAAACGTTGGTAACGAATTCACATGTGAAACACCAAATACTTTCCCTATTCCTGCATTTCAGACCTTCCTCGGTCTGGATCTCAGCACCGTCTCCCAGGGCCGCTGTCCTCTGTGCTTACGGCCAAAGCTGTAGCACGCCCCAGACACTAGGCTGTTTGCCATTCCCAGGGCACGCCTGGCCTGTCATACCGACCCTGTTCCTATGTTGCCCTGTGCTTCCTTCTCGATGTCCCTCCAAATCCTACCCTATCCACCTACGAAGGGTCCCCTTGCTGCCATCCCTCAGCTCCAAGTCCGACTACTCTGTCCCCCTACACGTTGTCCCACTGTCATGGTACAAGCCACATGCTGACCTGTGTCACCAGCTGTGTGTCCCCGCATCGTCTTTGCATGACCAGAGGTTCTTAGATGCAGACACTCTCTTATTCCTAGAACCTGCACATAGTGTAGGCGCTCCTGAGTTTCAGGACTTGTGCTAATTAGAACTGAAGAAAGTGGACTGACAGCACAACACAAAGCGGGTTGGGGAACCTGGGGCTTCTGTGTCCCAAGCCTGTTGCACTCCCAGGTCTGGCCCTTGGATAGCTTCCTGGGCTGCACACCCACCCTTCTGGGGCTCTGGCCCTCAGCCCCCGCCCGGCACGTCATGCATGGAGCACAGCACCTGAGGAAGTTCTGAGTCACCATCTGAGCTTCGGCCTAATGCACTTCACAGGCCTCGTCGTTAGGAACCCGGCCCACTTCTTGCTTTGCAGCCCCCTCCCCCGGCCCCGCCGGTTTATGGGGAAAAACATCTGGATGGAAATGGTCCTTGCCAAAGTGCGTGCCGCTCCACCCCACCCCTCCCTCTGCACCTGAAGTCCTGGTCCCCTTCCGGCCATTGACGACTGTTTGCTGTGGAGACGGCTGGGTTCGTGGCCCAGGAGGGAGCAGGTGCCGAGGAGCCGGGAGAGCACAGGAGTTCACAGAGTCCCCGGGCCTGTTTCTCATTCTGACCCCGAGGATTGTGGAATGTGGGCCGGAGCAGCCCCGGGAGGACATGGAGCACAGTCAAATGCAGGCTGCTTTTCCGGGAGGTGTGAGCTGGTGTGAAATGGCCTCCAGATGTGGGACCGAGAGCTCCCCGAGAGTCCGAGGCTGAGCTCTTAGGGGTCTCCCCGTGGGAAGCAGAGAGGCTGTCAGGAAGAGGTGGCCTTCTTTGCTTCTTTGTGCTCAGATTGGGCTGCGGTCTCCGCCGCTGTGTGCAGCCGCTGGGCCCTGGGCCCTGCGCGTCCAGGCGGGCCTTGGCCGTTCAGATGTGAGCACCTACGATGCAGACACTGCGCCCAGTCAGCTCCCCTGCGGGGGCCCCTTCCACCCCCGCGCTTGGTTCACACTTAGTGAGAAGGGCTGTTGTGAGGTCCAAGTGATAGGCTTGGCGGATGGGCACTGGGGGGCGCTATTCATGATTGTTGGTTGTAGTCAGAGGCCAAGGGGTTGCCTAGAAGGGAGAGACGACCTGCTAAGGGACAGGACCCACTAGCAAATACTCTTACCCGAGCCTGTTCAGATCTCTCGCTCAACAAGCCCCTCCTGCAGCCAGAGCCTGGTACTGAGCTCTGCAGGAGACAAGGTGCAAGCCGGGAGGCCTCTCAGAAGGTGCTGCCACCCCTGAGGGGAGATAAAACGTACCAGTTGCTTCAAGTGCTACAGGCCGTGAGGAAAGAGCTCAGAGGGGAGGGAGGGCCCCTGGGAGGACAGCAGATGAGTCTGAGCCCCGTGTGCAGGTTGGGGAGGGGTGTCTTCAGCAAGAAGAGGGCAGAATGGCAGGGGGCGTGGATGGGCAAGATGGCAGGGGCGGAGTCTGAGTGCAGGAGAAGGCCCGAGAAGGCCGCCTCTCCAGGCATGCCTGGCTGATGGCGTTGAGTCTCTGGGGGTTGGTGGGAGTCCAGCTTCGTGCGATTCTCTAAATAGTCACAGACAGGAGCTGGTGGTCAATAAAGGAGTTGGCTGATGAGAGTGAGGTCTCGTCCTTTTGGGTCCAGAGGCTGTTTCATTGCTGATGTGGAATCACCACCCAGACAGGGGCTAATGCAATGCTCAGACCCCATCAGCTACACCAGTCCCTTGGGAACCAGGCTGCTGGCCCTAAGGTCAAGGCCAGGCCCTGCAGCTTCTTCCGTTGGGAAATGGTCAACTGCCAGGCTCCTCCTTCGTGACTTTGGCCTTAACCTTGCCAGTTCCTTCTGCTCCAAGAGGAAGGTTTTCCCTCCAAGCAAATAATGGTCTGGTCTCCATAGAGCCTCTGTAACCTCAATCACCCATTCCTGTATGGGAGCCGAGCCTCTGCCTGGATCATTTTAACGTCTCTCTGTTCAGGGTCAGGGCTTTTGCTCCACAATAAAAACTTACCCCAATTCTCCTTGAGGGCTAGCAATTACCACCTTGAACAGGACGAGGTACAGGTCTTCCCCTCCTCCCCCCAGACCCTTGTGAGGATTTCCTGTCTTCTCTGGAAAATATCCCATCTCCACCAGTTAGAGGACTGACTCTTGCTGGGGCATTAGAGTGTTTAGTTATTGCTTCAAAGATTCCTTACCAAGAGTTCCCATAAGGGCTAGGAGTTTTATGCGGATTCAGCTCTCCTCCCATTTCTCACCCCTCACCTTGTGCCAGAGTTCTTGGGCAGGTTGGCAGATCAGGCGCGACTTTAACCCCGGGCCACACATCTAATGAGGAACAGCTTCATGATTCAGGCAGCGTCCGTCTTTTTTACTTAACAAGCCTCCCAGCTCTGCTAATAAAAGCTCTAACCAGAGAGAAGCCGTATGTGTCCTGGGCTCACTCACCCAGCACAACAGCTGTCTGGCCAGAGGAGGCCTGTATTCTACACAGATCTCTTATTTCAAGCTAAGAACGTTCTAGACCTTGCTTAACTGCTTGGGTGATCAACTGCAAACTTTGGCACCACTCCTCAATTGGAATGATTAACCCCTTGGAACATTCACATCAGAGGGAGACCACATGCTTTTCAGAACGACCGCTGTACCCTCGGAGAAGTGAGTGACACTGGGACCTCTTCCCCAGGTAGAGTTGTGTGTGACTGAGATTCGGGGCTGGCTGGCCCACTGCCATGAGCATTGCGTGAGCCCAAGGGGCCGTGGACGTCATTCGCCGGCCCTCCCCACCTTCCTGCCAGTCATATTCTTTGCCAGATGCTCCTTTTCAGGTCTGGGGCTGCACCATGGAACCCAGGCCACAGATAAAACCGCAAGCCCGGGCTGGACCTTTCCCTGGAATGATACCAAGGGATGGCTGTCAAACAACTTGAGGACCTCTAGTGAAAGGAGCCATTTCTCATTCCTTTCCTTTTCCGGGGACTCCCAGAGCTGGAGCCTGGCTGCCCACGTGGCACAACGGGTCGTGTTCTCCATCAGGGAAGGGGGTCTTCTATTTTCTCTCCTTTCCAGGTTCTGCTGGTAAACAGTTTATGCCCACCTGATCCAACCATACCTGTTGTGATTTTTTTCCAGTTTAACCATCATCCCCCTGTCCTTTTTCTTCTCATCACTCAGGCCCTAACTGCTCTAGTTTACAAGGTACCAGTGGGAAACTCCCTATGTGTGTAAATATATGCTCTCAGCATCCCTAGCGGCCTTGGGAAATCTCCCTTCATCCTGCCTCCACAATTCTGTCTGCAGGATGTTTGGGGTGGGAACAGGCCATGTCCCAGAAGGGGTGTGACAAGAGGCGGTGTAACATTTCCAAGGGGCAGGATGCCTGGCACACAGTAGGACCTCAATAAAAGTTGTTGCTATGTGCCCTCTCTCCACCCCTTCTTCTCCGTCTCCTCCTGGAAAGCACCCCCTTGCCTCTCAGGACACAGCTGGAACCTATGTCCATGTCCCGTTTTGCCTCCAGAGCCACAGCAGGCAACAGCAGCATCCAGCCCTCTGTGACCCGCTGGCGTGTGCCCACCCTCTCTGACAGTCCTCACCGCGGATTGATTGACAGCAGGTGGCTGAGCTCCAAAAACGATCCCAAACATTTCCACCTCTCCCTGTACATACTTTCCCAAGCCCCACTGAGAATTAGCACCTCCATCCTCTCTCCCTGAGTTTTTGCTGGGCCTGTGGCTGCTTTGGGGAAACGCCATGTGCCAGGACAGGCATATTCTGCTTCTTCCCTCTTAGGACACGGCTCTTGGGGCTGGAGCACTCCTTGGAGTACCCCCAAGGGCTGCAGCTCCAGCCGATGTCGCAGGGAGCAGAAGAACCACAGTGCTGAGCCCAGGCAACCAACACAGTCATGAGAGAGATTACAATCGTTATTTTCAGCCAGGTAGGGGAGGGAATTCTGGCAAGTGTAGCTCCCAGCTTAACCAAATTGACACAGCACCATCCAGCACTTTAGCAAACTGCTTTCCTCTGAGCCTTGGTTCCTTGTTAGTAAAATAGGGAAAATAATCCTTACCAAACTCAGCTTGTTGAGAGATTCAGTGAGAAATGCATGCATGGTTTATCATATTCTAAATTCTTAAGGCACGTTAGTCACGCTGCTTGTTAGAGAAGAAGTCCATTCGTGCTTATTGGATGAATGAACTGAAACTCTTCGGAGGCGCAGAAAGGGGGCAGGAAATAGGGCATGCCCCGGGACTTCAGGGCCAAGCTGGAACAATGTGGGCCTCTTGTGGGAAGCTTGAGGCCAGAATAAATCTAGAAAATGTCAGCTGGACATCATCTGGGCCATCTGGCATTAAGAATCAGAGACTAGGATTGGGAATTCAGTCCCACTTCACAAGAATCCATCAGTTCACTCTCCAAGTCCAGATGAAGTCTGCCCAGGAGGCCAGGATGTTGGAGAGTTAGACACCCTGAGTTCTGGTTCCAGCTCTGCCACTATTTACTCTATAAACTTAAGTGAGCCCTTTATCTGCTGTGGGTCTCTGTCTTCCCATCTGTGCATGAGGCAGCCGGACCAGATGATCAGAGGGCCTTCCTATGCTTTCCTTCCACAGGGACCACTGAAAGGAAGTGATATGCAGTTTGGGAAACTGTAGGCCACTCTAGAAGGGCCCGTTATTCCACCTCAAATTGAGACCACTGTGCATGTGCAATTCAAACTAACCTTCACAATGCATCCATTCCACATCTTAACTGCAGGAGTAAATCTGAAATGCAAATGGTAGATCCAGAGCCCATGTTAGCTCCCAAGGGCTGGGGAAGGGGGAAGTGATGTATTCCCATCAGCTACTGTGTAGCATGTGTTTGACATCCATCATTTTATCACCCTTATGATGGCCTTGAATTGGGTATTATCATCCGTAATTTCCAGCTGGGGAAACTGAGGCTCAGGAAGGTTTAGCAGCCCTGAGCCCTGCCAGGGCACAAGCAGTGAGACTGTGGTAACACTGAGTTTGAACCCAGATTGGCCTGTGCCCAGAGCCTGTGCTCCCTCCACAGCACCAGGCTGCCCTCAGGAAAGCCCAGAGTTCCACTCCTAGACTAGAATGATCTTGAGTCTCTGCTGAAGATGGATAACTCCAACGTGAGCTTTACCGACCAGCCAGGGAAGAGAGCTGTTGGTCACTGGAGGTCAAGTTGTGGTGAATGTCAAGGGTGCAGATAAGGACAGAGACCAGAGCCAGGCTTAGCTCATCATACCGTGCTAGCTAATTAGTGAACATCGGCATTAGGGCTCCAAGGGAAGCAGAGGGCTCTTCACTTTCTATCTTTAGTGGCTTGAGGGAGGAAACGGGGAAGGAAGCCAGCATTGGAGCTGGCTCTGTGGTTCCCCATGCCTCCCTGAAAGCTTTGCCCTATCATGGGAAGTTTTGCAAATGCGGACAATTCTTTCCCCTTTAATTCTCCAAGACTTCCTAGAATTTTAGAGATACTCGCCATAGTGTGTGTCCCCACAGTGGTTGGGGGTGGGTGGAGCCCCACTGTGGGTATGAGGTCAGTGTCTGGGGTCTGAGAACGCATGCCTTTACCTGGGTCTGCAGAGAGCTGATATTTGACACAGAGCAGAATGTTGGGTGGAAGGCTGGAAGGTGGGTGAAGTCACCAGGGCACAGAGCTGCCTCGGGGAATGGGTGTGGCAGAGGATGGGCGAGTGTGCCACGTGGGTGCTCCCTTTCGCTGGGTAGACAGATGCCTTTGTCCAGGGGCCTGCCCTGAATTGATAAGCTGATCTCTCTGATTCTGCTTTTTTTTTTTATGATAACATCACGATTTATTGAGCATCTCCTCGTGCTGGCCGTTCACTCCCTGCTTTACAGGATCATTGCTGTCACGCCAGGCGGTTTAGTGTCTTTTACCCAACCATGTTCTTATGGGGCCCTTCTGAGTTGGAAGAGGAAGTTATGTTCACGGCCTTCAATTTCTCCTACACTGAGAGGGGAAAGGATGGAGCGAGCTGCGGGACAAACATTGGTCTTTTGTGTTTACCCACCAGGTGTGTCTGTGTATGTGACATTCATCACGTTGGCAGTGGGTATTTTTTACATTCCACATTTGATGTCTTCCCTCTCGGACGCTAATTATGCCTTTATAGCTCCAGAATTACATGCTTTTATGTTCCAGTTCCACTCTAAACCCCAAAGCACACCCTTCACACAGCACTAGAGGGATCGCTTCATTCACTGAAAATCAGATCACGTGACAACTTTCCACTACACATACCATCTACAATGTGCATCTTACGCTGTGGCCCGTAAGACCTTGCCTCCCCTCCCCTACTGCCACTGCACCTCAGTTTCTTTGCTGCAGGACTGCTGCCCCTGATCGCCCCCGTGCACACTGCAGCCCAGGGTAGGCCCAATCCATGCCACTTGACTGAGCGGGTGGGCAAGCCGGCCTGAGCTGCTAATTGGATCATGTCTCGCCCTTGATCTTGTCTTTTTCCCCCACCTTTATTCAGATATTATGGACATAGAACATATGTAAGTTTAAGGTGTGCAGCAGGAGATTAAATACACATGTACACTGCAAAATGATGACCACAATAAGGTTAGTTAACATCTCTGTCCCTTCACATAACTACGATTGGGTGTGTGGTGATAACTTTTAAAATCTACTGTCTTAGCTTTCAAATATATGATACAGTTGTTAATTATAGTCCCCATGGTGTGCATTAGACTCCCAGATCTTATTTATCTTACAACTGGGAGTTTGTACCAACATATCTCTATTTCCACCCAGCCCCTGGCAACCACCATTCTAGTCTCTCTTTCTATGAGTTCAGCTATGTTAGATTCCACATGTAAATGAGAACATACAGTATTTGTCTTTCTCTGACTTATTGCACTTAGAATGATGCCCTCTGTTGATCCACGTTGTTGCAAATGGCAGGATTTCCTTCTTTTTCATGGCTGAGTAATGTTCTAATCTATTTGTACATCACATTTTCTTTATCCATTCATCCATTGATGGACACTCAGGTTGTTTCTATGTCTTGACTATCGTTAAATAATGCTGTGGTGAACACAGGAGTGCAGATATTTCTGTAAGAGGGTGTTTTCATTCCCTTTCAGATAAATACCCCAGAATGGAATTGCTGGATCATATGGTAGTTGTATTTTTAATTTTTTGAGGAACCTTCCCACTGTTTTTCATAGTGGCTGCACCAGCTTACATTCCCACCAACAGTGCACAAGGGTTCCCTTTTCTGCACATCCTCACTCATGCTTATCTCTTATCATCTTGATGATAGCCATGCTAACAGGTGCGAGGTGCTATCCTATTGTGGCTTTGATTGCGTTTCCCCTGATGATCAGTGACG